ATATATATATATATANATTATATATATATATTATAAGATTAATTCACAACTTTATGTTAATTCAGATATTTCAATCATCTTATGTTGATTGAGAATTGATTGTTTTCTTTAGAATTGTTTTGTAACTTAGCATGCATCACATGACTGGCTAATTGATTGCTGCTTTCTTCTTCTTTTTTTTTTGTTTTTTTTGCAGCTCCATCACCTTCTGCCATGCATACTCCTACAGGTAAATTAATCATGTATTAATGGATCCATTAATTTATCAACCATGAGTTGCCTATGTTTCAATTAAAAATTTGGCAATCATTTATTTTGTTTGAGGTTGATCTGTGGATTGACAACTCAAGCAGATTGAGCCATCATCCATTTAACTTTTTACAAATTTCAATGATAATAAAACATTCATATAGTTGATTCCAAATAATTAAGACTTATGAATTTATTGTTATTATAAAATATAGTCTACGTTCTTTCTTTTATTTCACCTCGATAGTTTCAGGGATCAGACGTAGAGGAAATGAATAGATTTTTTACATTATAATAAATAAAAAAGTGAAATAGGGAGCAATGAATCATGCCATATCATTTATTTTATTCTATGGGATCTTATGGAGTCATTCATAAAAATTATTCTATCAATCTTGTGGTCATGACATTCTTCGTTATTCATGTAGTAGTTGCAGGTGGTGATGGAAGAGATAAAGGTGACGCCCACAGAGTAAATTGGATTGGCTTGTCCGGCTTCATAAGCTTCTCCCTCCTGTTTTGGTGCTCCGCCGTGGGGCTGTGAATGAGACCACCGGCTTTCTTTAGCTGTTATTTCTGCTCGTGTTTGTTTGGACAAATTACTGTTGGTTGCGAATTCTGTGTGCTTGTGATGAGCTGCTGCTTGGATATGTCAGATTGAATTCTTTTGATGATGAAAACTGCATAAGCACTTCTACATAAGAAATTTGATGGGTTGTTTTCATAGGTAAAATAAAAAAAATATATTGAGAAATCATAGATTTGAATGGCTAAGTCAAAACTTTAATGATATTCCAACTATTTCAAGCCTTTTTACATTAACATACACATCTCAACTTTAAGAAAGGATATGACATCTCTCTCTCTCTCTCTCTCTACTGATTCCATCAACTAGCCTGATGAGCTTGCAGCTGTTTATTTGGTGCATTGTGGCATTAGTCTATCTTATGCAAAAAGATAGACTATGCGAAAAGCATTTCAATTTTCCATGTTCAGTCAATATGCAAAAAGCATCATCATCACAAGGAACTCAACTGCGAAAAAGAAATGAATTGTTACAAGATGGATAACTTTGGTTTCATGGATAAAACAACACCTGAGGATGCATGAGGGGTGCAATCTTTAAGCAGACCCCATGCAAACAGCATATTTTTATACATCCCAATCTTGCAAGAAATGATACAAAAGTCACCACAACTCAAATGGTTAATCCTTCCTCAGCTCCATTAACTCCTGCCGAATACCTGATGCATTTATCACCAAAATTTCCACTTTATCCCCCTGCAAACATACCATCAGCCAAAAAACGGTGAAAAATGTCAAACTTTAAGACTCGATAAAAGAAAATTGATGAACCATAACACAATCTAACATACAGTATATATGTCTCTTTCAGTGGCCGACGCAAAAACGTCTTTCACTAAATCGACCGCCTCCATCTCCAACAAAGGTGTGACAGCATCCTGTTTAATTACGACCAACGAGGATTCCCACAGTGAATTCTGAATTAAAATTTATTAACCAATATGTTTATACCTTGGCGGGTAATAGCAGAGGACTTGGAGATTTTAGCTGGTTGTCCAAAACAGGTATGATGAGTCCTGCACCTGTACCTTGGGCACTGTACCCAACCCTTTCATATGATCCAACAGCATCATATGTGAAGACACAGCCCTTTCCTGAACCAAAGATCAAATGTTACGACCATATCTGATGTGTTCAAGTACAGGTTTTAAGGACTAAATTTTGGACTAAGCATCCATGAGGATTCATACCATCACTATCAAGTCCACCTAGGATGTTGAAGGTGAAATATGGGAAAAACCGCTTGTAGTAAAGGGTGTTTGACAGGAGCTGAGCCATGGCTGGGCAGCTCATCTGCTTGTTGTGTTGATGTTGATAGATCTGCAGTATTAGAAACATCAAGTAAGGGAATCATGCTGCAGCAAATGTATTAGATTCCCAAACCATTTCTACTACAGAAATCATCCTAACCACAGATGCCATCATGGACAATTGATCGCATACTTCCATGCAGGTGAACATAGATATTTCCATCAATTTAGAATCCAGTTTGCCCGTTCAACCATAATAATATGAACTACAAGCATTGGCGTATTCTTCTGTAACCTTTCCCAATTCAATTTTTAACTTTAGGAAGACAGAGAAAGAAACATTTTGCAATATTTTAGACGAAGATTATGACATTAATCATGACGATTGTCCATCTCTAGCCAATTATCTAACATTAGTATTCCTTCTGATAACTATTATTTACTCCGGAAAGTAATGAATGTCTCTGAATGCCATTAATAGACCACACAGCAAGTGAATGATGAAAGCCCATAAAAAGCATGTAACATGATAAACAAAAAAAAAACGTGAACTATCACCAAAATATAAGCTTAGCTTCTGAAAAGTTTTAATCGTGCTTCCTGCAATGATGTTTTAGAATCAGTATGTACTTTAACCACCACAATTGAGTTTATTTTTAAATATTGTCACTACGGTGATTTCTGTTTTTTTTTTTTTTTTTTTGTTCACTTTTGTGTCTGGCATGTAGTATCTATCTTCTTCCATTTAGGTTGTAAACAGAGAAAAAAAAGACTCATCATTGTCATGATTGATGCCTCATTTTACTAGCAGCAAATCTGCACACTGAATGAATAACACTAAACTCTGCAGCTTGCCTACATTGGCCACAAGAAGAACTCATATATTATGAGAGTACTCTTCACTCAAATCAGAATTCGTGTAGATGGATAGTGCACTTTATGCTAGAACATGCATGGACACAGCATACCTCCTTTGTATGGAAAAAGAGTGCAAGGGGTACAATGCTCCAATTATGGGTTAAAAATGACAGAATATTATTTAAGATGGTTCAAACATGTCCAAAGAAAACCAATAAATGCATGCTAGTACATCAACCTGCTACCAAAACACAAGCTGAAAATGCAACAACCAATTAGAAACTTTGATTCAGCTCATTCTTCCTTTTACCGTGCAAGTGTTACATGCATTGTTAATGTGATCTAACAGAAAACATAATTCTATTGTCTTGTATAATTTTATCTTTCTCCACCAAATATAATCCAAAATCCTATTTAGCCTCAAAATCAAGATGAACACTTCTGTTGGCAGTAATGGAGCTTCTGCTGTTGTTGACCTAATAATCTCCTAATTATCCTCACTATAGCTTCTTTACTATGTGTTATCATAATATTTACTACAAGGAATAGTGTGTGCTCCGTGAAATCTTAATATTTAAAGTAATAGCCTAATGGATTGTGTCAAGATAAAGTAATATTACCTTGATAGCTTTGTTGCATTATTCACAACAGAAATGAAAAGAAAGCCAATCGAAAGAAATCCATGGACCTGTCATGATATCTCAAAACCAACATATATTTTTTGTACAAATATTATTGAGATTTGCATTTGCATGATATTTGATCCGAAAGAATTAGTTTTTATGCAAAGAAACATATATATATATATATATATATATATATATATATATATATATATATATATATATATATATATATATATATATATGTGAACCATGTGGACATATAGTGTCATGACCCGAGCTTGATAGGCTAACTGGTCTATCAACTTCGTTTGG